AAAACTTAGCCTACCCTTAAAAAATCATACCTGAGCAGAAAAACTCAAACCGACATAATGTATCTGATCAATAGAAACTATTTGTAAATTTGAAAATGACGAAAGATGCCTAATTGGCATCTTCCTTGAAGCTTGATCAGCAGTAACGATTAACATCTGAATGATAACCCACATAAAAACTAATTAAATGCCATCAATCGAAAATCTTATATTTAGAAAAACTCAAACCGACATAATGTATCTAATCAATAGAAACTATTTGTAAATTTGAAAATGATGAAAGATGCCTAATTGGCATCTACCTTGAAGCTTGATCAGCAGTAACGATTAACATCTGAATGATAACCCACATAAAAACTAATTAAATGCCATCAATCGAAAATCTTATATTCTCGCTTGGAACAAGTTTACCCCTGAAAATGGTGCCTCACTCATTAGCGCCAAGATCTGAGTTGAGTGACACACAAATCATCCTGACAGTAAGTCTCGAGGGTTACTTCTGTAAAGGTCGCGATAATATCCGAGCATGTCGAAAGGTGAGGCTTGACCAAGGTGACTACTTAAAGAGAAATGAAAGGTGTAAGAGTTGAGTTGAGTAGTTGATACAAATCAAAACTAACATAAAGAGAAAAAAAAAAGAAACATCTCAAAATCAAATGCTTTATCATGCACAACATCACAAGCAATTGAGCTGTAAAATAAAATACAGTAAATATAAAGCAATAAAGTTATAAAAATGACAAAAAGTTTTTCTTATAAGATGATTTAAACAAGTTTTTCTTTTGTAACTATACAATTCTATTGATGTAGCTAAGCAAAACAAATAATATTTTCTTATGTACAGAGAGAAAAAAAAAAGAGAAGAAAGACAAAACATAAGCGACCGACCCATCATCACTGTCACCTCCGTCTGCGGTAGTTTTTATAGATTCTTCATTGTCATTCTTTGAGTTAGAGAGAAGGGTTGGCAAACTGCTTCATGTCAGCCCTCTCAGTGTCACCAAGCCCTCTTTAAGAAACCTACCTATGGCAAAGGAGATGCTCGCTTGGAGTTGTCGGGAGAGCCTCTCGATTTTCTTCTCAATGGTTATCATCTTGGCCATCGCCTCCTTCAACCTCTCATTCTCATCTTCCAGGACTGGCACAGTTTCCTCATTTTCTCTTGCCTCCTTCGCCAAGGTCTTAGATGCATCCGGGTGGCTGCCTTAGTTATCCTCTGTTCAATAGCTGCCTTTTTATTTTCCATTTGATGAAAGGTTGTAGATTGAAAGTGGGTAGTTGCCCATGCCATCAAGTGGTATCGATCACTGAGCTGACCCGACCTCCTCAATAGCTCCTCGAATTAGTCGGACTAGACCACCTCTATAAAAAGATATGGGTAGCCCACCGCTGCAAATATCGCCATATATCAGTCCATCTCAGTGTCCACCATGACAAATCATCCAACAAAGCTCAACCAAACATTAAGGTCATCCACTGTGAAAGGAATCCACCTCAGAGGAGATCCATTACATTTCAGTCGAGGAGGAGGCAATGGGGAGACATCCTCAGCATGAGCTATTTCCTTCCTGTGGGTAGGGACTTCTTCCTGACGATCAGACTCTACCTTATCATCAGCCTCAATGTCAAAATCTGACAAAGGAAAGGATGAGGACCGGCTCGTCTTAACTTTTGATCTGGCATTGAGCTTGGGGAAGCCTACCCAACAAACTATGGAAGTTTCAACACATGACAAGGAAACCTTCAACTCAGTTAGCAACAACTCTCCAATGAAAATGCAAAATGACTTAAGTATTTTTTGAAATGAAAATAAACGAGCTCCCTATCTTTTGTGTAGGCTCCTCATGAACCAACTACTGAAATGGAGAAGCTTTTAGGATTTGACAATGGTTAAAAATTTATGGAAAAAGCTACACTTCTATTTATCACCTTTTCTTAGCTTCATACAAACTCAAAGATTTCACCCCTATTTATACTTGTGGCTTTTAGAGTTTAGGGTTTGTGTCATTACAATTCTAATGTAATGGTTACAAATGACTCTCAAGAATTCTCTTTATAATTTCATACCTACCACACATTCTAGACAACTTTATGGATTACTCTAGAATAAGCTTCTATATGAGAATTTTCTAGAACATGCTTTTAGAAAATAGGCTCTTATTGGGCTTTATTTAAACAACTAAGGCCCAAAAACTAAAAATCAAGTTTATATTTCAACACCAACGACTTTAGAGGTTGAAGAGTAGTGTGTCCTATGAGCAGACAAACCCTGCCCCTGGTTTCTTTCTGCCTGCCATGCCAGCAACCTCCTCCTTTCGTTTTGCCTCCTAAATGTTAGAGGCCTCTTGCAGTTTGTCGAACATACCATTGAACTCCTTTGACCACAAAACCTTGTATATAATGTTAGAGTCCAAGTACTGGTGCAAGACATATCGTGACCTTCAAACATGTCCCCATATACCTTCAAGGATCTTGATATGATCTTAATCTTCATGGGAGAGCTTGTAATGGGTCGGACATTGATCACCCAACCTCCTTGGCGGGAACCAACCAGGAACCTCAGCTTCAACTCCTTGATTTGTTCTCAAGTCCCACAAGACGGAATCTGGAGCTCACTAAGAACACTGTGTAACCATCACGTCCGACCTTGAAATCGAAGGAGTAGGAGAAGAGTCAGTCAATTATAAAATAGCCAACAACCAAATAAAGATAACAAACGTCAATATAACAGTGATAGAACTGGGCATGAACTACATAGGGATGACACGGTAGCGGCCGGGGACTGCCATCCTCAACTTCTGGCAGAAAGGCAACCTTAATCCACACTTGAATTAGTTCTGATAGAAGACCATATCATTGTCATAATCTTCGGTCACTCGGCCATCTTTCTCGACAGCTCATAAGACCACTAACTTGCCATACACACAAGACTCTCGGAGAAGCTCTACTTGGTGTGCAAATAGAATGGACACTTCCTCGGATGAATGGATTCAAAGTGCTCTTAGGAATACTTGGCGCCATGAAAGGCAAGATGAACAGAAAGAAATAACCGACTAAGAAAATTTAAAAAATAAATAGTCGTGCGAGATTTCCTACTGCTTCAATCTTATTTATAGAGAATGGAAGGAGGTCAAATCTACTTAGGGGCATCAATGTCATTTGTCTTCAAAACTATAGAAAGAAAGTCATTCAACCACACAAATTGAGATAACTAATTTAAATTTTATTTTATAATAAAAATATTTACATCAACTAATTAGCGACTACTTTAGAAAATACTTCACAAGACTAGGCAACTGCTTCTGAGACATAATTTTGCTGAAACAGTAGCCTATACAAAATCTTGCAACATAATTTTAACCTATCTACTATATTTATTTCAGCTTGTATCCGGGTGCCCAAAGGCGCCTCCCGGCTGACCAGCAGCTCTGCCCAAATAACTGTTACTTCCTCGCAGAGTGTATCCTCCCAAGCACAGATCGTGACCATGTCTTCCTCTAGCCTCTCCAACTTATTTACCCACTTAATCAACATGTACATCTCTCGGGTCTAAGGAAAACCAATAACTTGAATGAACAAATTTTCTAGTTTGAGTAGTAGACGTTCCATCGAGCTGGGAGATTTTGGTCTACCATCCACCTCTACTTGGGCCTCTTATAGAGGACCCGTGTGGCTACTCTCAGCCTCAACTTGGTGCAGAGCACCCTCAACATACCCCATCCATCTCATTAGTGACTGCCTCCGCCAAAGGAGAGTAGATGGTCACCACTCTAATGATCGGATCGATTGCACCAAAAGATAATATAAATATTGTTTAAATAAAAAGTTGAAAATTCATCCAAGGAATTTATACCCTTTATACCCATGATCTAGTCCCATTATGAAGTTGTAAAAGAGAATCCTTCCTCACCATTCCACTGTCCCTCAGTCGACAGAGGGAGGTCGGGGATACCTTACACGTCTGGCGGCGCCGGGGGAACAACAACCTCTCGCACGATTTCCTCAACAGCTACTTCCAGTGTCCCGTGCGATTCCAAAGCACTTGCAGCTTCTTGCTCTGCTTCTTCAGACGATGGCGCTGAAGTCCGAGCAGGAGCCGACGGATAGGCCGACCATTCCTTCTGGCAGCCACCTTCCTCCGCTCGAGATATTTCTCCCAAGCGTCCTTTCTTTGTCTGACGAAAGTGTTGAAAATAAAGTTATTGTATGCCTTAGAATGGATCAATACACACATGTGCATGCACACGTAATTCATTCACTACATTCTTGGCTTTTTTATGTTCACACCTTTAAATGACAAAGTAAGATTATTCCTTCTTTATCTACAACCTAAAACTAACTCAATGATATAACTGGATCATTTTTTACAAAAGTTATATAAGTTATCAGGTCTCTAACTATGGTACCGATTTTATATATACTCAAGAGTTCTAAGGCAAGCGATATGCTTTTTACTACCAAGACAAATGTCACAAGTTTGAATACAAAGATTAACGTTTGAAAATTAGACATTAACTAGCTCCCTTTGCAAAACTTAATTTATAATCAACCATTATGCTCTATTTTGAATTGATAAAAGAAAATGAACTAGGTTTTTACCTTTATACACAAAAAAATTGAAACTATTACTCTAAAAAGGAGTTACTAAGTCAAGTTTAACAAATCAACTATCCTAAGAAAACAAAAGAAACGTTAAGCACCAAAAAACTTATAATGTCATTAAGACTTTTGTTCGCATGAACTTCAATCATTAGTACAACATTTGGTAATAATGAAACATAGAGATTAGGGTTGCGAAGAGGGTTTTACCTCAACAAGTTGAGTTTTTGAAAAGGAGAAGTATGAGTGGAGATTTGAGAGAAAAAGAAATGTGCAAATAAAAAGCAAGATGTTGGGTTTCTCATTATTTAGATATTTATATTTTTAAAATTTAAAATAATTGCATAGAAATTATTAATATGTCATTATTAAATGTGCTACATCTTCTTCTCGTGCCATTAATCTTGAGATTTTCATGACTATAATGAGAAATTTACATACATAGTTACATATCTAACCCCTAAGGCTTGATATTTACATTTGTTGTAACACTTTGGTGTCATAGCTTATGCATGATCATTTATAAACTTAGAAATCGTGATATTTTCTTAGGTGCTATTTAAGATTAAGCTTAGTTTTGTAAATAAGAAAATTAGGTGTTACATATGTAAATATATAAGAATTGTGTGGTATATGTGTAAAAGACCCAACTATAACTAAAGGGTTAGTTTATGAGATTTTACATTGAGGTTTCTAGGGCATCTGACTCCTTATCAATTTGTGCCTTCTATTCCGAGGAATTCTAAAAATGATAATAAATTGTTGAATTTAAGCAAATTGGATAAAGCGCATCCAAAAAAAGAGGATAGAATTATAATTAACCTTTACGTCATCATATTGAACATACTGTGAAACTTACAGTAAACTTTATTTATGGCTTTATTCTACTTGTTTTAAAGCACTGGTTTGAACTAACATTGTAAACTTCTCTTATCATGAATAAAAATGAACTTTTTTCTCCTTCATATGTCGTCTCCAATCATGTGACGATCACAAACTCATATTCTTCCTTCCATCCCATCATCTCTAGATTGTCAATGATTGCCCTCAGTGCTCCCTTCACAAACATATCTTCTCCTTTTCACAATGTTGTTTGTCTGTATTAATGCGTGCATCCAACGCACTTGCCAAGAACTCATTTTCTCCTTCATGCATTGTTATTGATTCGTCAATACCTACTCTCAACACTATCATTTTTAAACTTATTCTTCTCTTTCACATGCCATCATTGTTCTCACAATGCCTACCCTATTGCTCCAATCATCAAGTCATCTCCACCATTGCACATCACCACATATCATGCAATGTTTGCCACTAATGATTTAACATGAGATCAAGTCAAAGGTTCGAATCAACTCCAAATTTAAACCAATAATTAAAGATAAAAAAAAAAAAACTTTTATTTGAATAAAGGTTTAAATACAAGTTTGAATTAGGTCAAAGCAATTTATAAGCTTAATGAACTAACTATAACACAATAGTCGATTTCTTGTTGGGGTTAATTATGTCCAAAAAATTTTCGGGCATGTTTCTCAAAAAGAAAATGGAGTGGGAGAGAGGGATTGTGTCGGAGAGTGGATCTTTAACAATTGTATGTATTTTAAGGCATAGATAGTAAATTTTTCTATGCTAATATACACATATTGATGAGAATATTCTACTTTAATGTCTTTCACTTATCACTTCCTCTCTTGCCTTTATTTATACATGTTTATTCTAACATTATAATTAATCAAGTGAAAATAAAATGCCAAAGTGAATATGGACATGCTTTAAGTGCGATTAACTATTCTTATTATGGTGTTTGTGCTTTGTGGTTTTTATTCATGGCTCCTAAAAGGATAAAAAATGAGTTAGAGGAAATCGGGAACAATCCTCCGACCTCATTCACTATTTATAAAATATATAACGATATGCTTAATTTGGAAGCAACTAGTAAGGGATCCGATGATAGCCCTTTTGCGGGTGCAGTGTTTTGCATTTCTATTGAATATACCAAAATTTTTCATCCAAACATTAATGGTGAAGGCTGCATCTTTCCTAACACTATTCGAGATCAATGGAATCCTACTCACACAACAGCAATGGTTTTGCCATCCATCTGCTCCCTTTTGAAGGAATCGATCATAGACAAGCCGCTTGTCTGTGTGATTGCTAATATGTATATTACTAACAAAGAGCTAGATGAAACAACAACTTGTTCGTGGACTCGAGAGTATGCCATGGACTAAAAAAATTTATGGGGCCGACCAACCAATGTTATATGATATGTATTAGATACTCTACTAAATAAAGATTTGTATAAATTAAAAATTGTTCAATGACAAAAATTTAATACATTGTTTGGATGTATAGTTCACCAGAACAAAGTTTTGAGTGCTATGCACGTAGTTTCCTCTAATGATTTGTAACATGTCATGAGAGCTAGGTAGTTCTCAGTAATACTAATCAACTCCAAAATATTGCAATTTACAAATCTAACACCCTCTTTCATCCATTTTTCAAATTCTCTCTCAAATATCAATTACTAGCCCAAACATGTTCAAGCTATTCGAAGCTTTTGTCATCACCAATTTAAAAATTGGTGCAAATTATAACCAAAATTTACATTCATACCACTACATTCTTATGTGTAGGGCTGTCAAAACGGCTCGTTATTCGCGAGCAGCTCGTGTTCGCCTCGTTAAGAAGCTTGTGTTCGGCTCGTTCGCTAAGTTAACTAGCAGAACACGAACATCACGAATAAATATTTGTTCGTTCGTGTTTAACTCGTTTTGGCTCGAAATACTACTAATTAATTAATTAATTTTATATATATATATAATTGATTAGTAGTATATTTAAAAAATTAAATTGACTACAAAGATTTATACTCATATAAAATATTAATGAAGAAATTAGAATAAAAATTATTAAATTAGATTCAAATAATGTTTTAAATCTTATCATGATCTTTAACATCATATGGCTAAGTAATTAGGATTGTCAAAATGACTCTTTGTTCGTGAACGGCTAGTGTTCGGCTCGCTAAGCAAACAAGTCGAACACGAACACACTTTCGAGCTTGAAGTAGCTCTTTTACACCCCTATATATGAATTAGATGGTATCTGTGTAAACGGAATTATTTCATACGGTCACTACATGCAGAAATACATAAGATGTCTGATATTCACCGTCCATCACAACAAAGATGTATAACAGTGAACCCAATTTAAAATTTTTTTTTTAGGGTTGTTTGTTGTGATGGACGGTAGATATCAGACTCCGTATGCATTTTTGCATACGGTGTCCGTATGAAATAATTTTTCGTGCAAATGCCCAAAAATATATACATTTATAATACACACCAAAAGCTTTTTTAAAAAATATTATTTCGAACAATAGAGCTTAACAACCATATTTCCAATAAATTACAGTGAAACACAACATAACAATTACTATTTTCAACATAAATAAATAATAAATAAAAAAGGGTATAAATGTAAAATAATTTTCAAATAGAGACACTATTAGGAATCCCCTTCCCTGTCAGCCCGCCCACTCCACTGAAGTCGGAAGCATTCGGATACAGCAGAGTATAGGGCAGACGAACACCTCCATTTCTGTTCTTCAACTCCTCATCTGAATTCCTCTTCAAAATATTCTTTTCAATTTCGACCAATCTCTCGCCGAATCTATGGAATGCCTGTAATGCCGCAGCTTCCTTGGTCCAATCTGAAGAGTCTCGCTGGCCGAGGTACATCTCGTCTGACGAATGTCGGGATAAGATTTCTATCAGCGCGACGCCTAAGATGCTCTGAGATTGTCCTGTGATCAGACATGAAGTTTTAGAACAGATATTGATGATTTGAAGATTATCCTTATAACTAAAAGCATACCTGTAATCGTCCTCAAGAAAACCAAATCGGGGTTCTCCCTGAGCCCCTCAACCCCCGGCGATCCATCCTCCGGAATCCACCGCCGGCTAATGGTGGGCCGATTCGGGGCATAGCCGGCGTAGGGATACTGCCCGAAGTTCACGGCGGCGATCTCTTTTACTCTTGAGATACAACCTATTCACTTGCCTTAATTGCACTTGCGACATGACTAACCGACAAAAGTTTGAACTAATCGTGTGTCTGTTATTGCCCAAAAAGAAGAATATTTTATAGAGAAAGTAAGACAGAATTTAAAAATTTTCATTATACATCATCAACAAATTTTCATCATCCAACATGAATCTCAGATCATGACATGAATCTCGAGACAATTTTTGAGCAATAAACGTTTAAACTTCGATTAAAATTTATCAAGAACTCTGATTTTAGCAAATTCACAATTAAATTGATCGACTCAATGATGCATACACAACGATACCAATATTGGTCAAATTCAAGTCAAATCAAGCCAAAATCAAACTATTAAACCAGATTTAGAAGCTTTCAATATATAATTGGAAGGTCAAAAACATTCTAAATCTGATAGATTTATAATCAAATCAAGCGTCTCAACGAGAAAAATTCAATGAGCCCAAGTTTGCTTAATTTTGACATCAATAAGGCACTCAAACTTTCACCGAACGCAGTCCGATCGAAGTAGTTTCTTGCCATCGTTCGATGAAGTGGCCCAAATTCCTCCCTTATTTGCAGAGAAACCCCTATCATACTCTATAAATATAGCCTTACCCTCCTCTTAGAGAGAGGATGAGAGAACTTGATCCAAAGAAGAGTGAAGCTTGAAGGAAGAGTTTAAGCCCAACATCACTTCTACAACGCAATTCCGTTGAATACGCTCACTCTTGTAGTCGCCGAACACAGTTGGCCACCACCCGCAAGCCGCCATCAACTGCCCATGACTCATTACAATGAAACCTCTTATGGAAACACTACATGTGTTGTGGAAACTTGAAACATTCCAAAGTAACAATGCATCCTATAGAATAACACTCCTCACATACATTGCAAGGATGCCTCTCAAAGATGGTGTAATAATGCACCTTACATACAGTGTAACAACACACCCTGATGACATTATAATAATGTGCCTCACATACAGCACATAGATGCACCTTAAAGACAGATGTAACTATACACCCCAAAGAGAGTGACTTTCTGCGGACTCCCAAAGCTTTCTTCTTGAAGCCCATCACTAAAGACTACGAGGTCCACATCTCGTGTAGCTACCAAATCTATCTTCCCAACTCTATCTTCTACAACTTATAGATGTCATCGCAACTCACTATCACGGCCTACGTGACCAACAACTGCCTACGTGGTCCACAACTCATGCAGCTCCCGAATCTGACCTCTATGAACTACGTGTGCCATCATAACTCACCACTATGACCTACATATTCCATAACTCATGCAACTATTGACTTCATACTCTGTGGCCTACAGACACCATTACAACTCACCACTATGACCTATATGACTAACTATGACCTATGAGATTCATACCTCATGTAGCTCCAGACTCTGGCATTCACTATTGACATGTCATCAAAGCTCACCTATATGACCTATGTGACCAAATAAAACCTATTTGGTCCACAGCTCGTTCAGCTTTTGACTCTAGCCCTTGCAACCTACATACGTCTTCAGAAGTCACCACTACAAACTAATTAATCAACTACGACTTATGTGGTTTATATCTAGTGTAGTTTCCAACTTCGATCTCTACTATTTATGGATGTAATCACAGATCATTACTATGACCCATGTCACCAACTAAGGCTCATGTGATCAACAACTCGTGTAAATCCTAACTCTAGATTCTACGACCTACGAACGTCATCACAACTCAAGCAACTCCTAACTCCCATCTTCCTTAATTCAAAAGAATAGTGGAAATGTGTACTCACAATTCATAGTGAGTTATTTTAGCTACGCGTAGGCCCTGTGATTTAATTTTCCAAGTAAACGTTGAGGTGTATCCTTCTAATTACTTCTCTTTAATTACATGAGTGTGTGTTGGGTTTCCATGCAATGCTAAGATGATAATTCATTACTCTACTGTTGTGGACCTTCCGACATGGATTAGTTCAACATCGTTTATGAGAAATAAATTCCTATTTGACACAATCTTCAAATATGAGATAATGATCCTCTACTTCATTTCCCAATGATGTACATCATCCAATTGGCGAAGAAACCTCCTTTGAACCTTTTGAAGATTATGTAAAGTGTTCTTCTTTGTGGGGGCAACCTTCACTGTAGTTCAAAAGAGTTGTTTATGTCAACGTCGTGGATAAAAACCTAGTGGGATAGTCTTCCAGCATCCTATCCAGACACAATATCTATGACAGCTTCTTCAAGGCTAGGGGCAAACTTTATAGTAGTTTTGAAAGGTTGTTCACATTAACATCTGAGCATAGTTATGGTGGGATAGTCATCCCACATTTCATTCATACATCAAGTTTTCGAGAATCACTTCCAGATTAAAGGATAATTTTATAAATAATACTTCCTCGACACCCCATCATACTATAGTTCTTCCTCAACTGGATCAAAAAGCTAATCTCTTTAAGTTTTGATACATGGGCTGTTTTATAAGCTCGTGTGAAAAAAGCTTCTGTTGTGGGTTAGCATATTCAAAATCAACAACTAGTATGTTGTTAAATATTATTCTTGAGTGTGGATGCAATCATATTTTTATGAAAAAATAATATGATTCATTGTGATCTATGCCTCAGTCTTGAAAAATACAAAGCATCTTTAACACCTTATTCTAGGCTTAATCGATTTCAGGGGAACTCAATTCAACCTATCACATCACAGTGTATGATCATCAAGCAAAAACTCCAATCACTTAGTATGATCATCAGCTCAAAATTTGGGCAACTATATTTTATAACCGCCCAGGAGATGGGGCAACCACAACTCACAAGGAAAGGAAAAAAATGACCTCAGATTAAACATCAAAATTTTTACAATATCGAGCAAAAGAACGATGTACAAACAAAAGCACTATCATCATGTATTAATGCCATATCAGGTGACTAAAAGGGTACAAATGCCATCATATGTTAGTCAAAGCCTGTAACATGATAATAGAAGTAAAGACATAAATTCACTATAACATCTTCCATATCAATAAGTGGCCCGCAACTTCATATTTTCTTCTTCAAAAGGAAACAACCTCACTTGAATGGATTGTAAAGTCTTTGCGTTCTAACTGGCGAGTTATTTTTCTTGTGCTTGACAAGGATATGGTTGAACTTTGCAAGCTCAGTCTTCCATGCTCTCAAAGAAAGGGTCGACTCATATTCCAATGGTGTTAGCATTATCTTCTCAAAATTATGGTGCATTTGCCATCTGTTGATCTTCAGGGGATGTGAATCTCCAAATATCGACATCTGAAAAACGTAGAAGATCTACACCACAAAGTGTGACAATAACATAAAAGTTTTTCTCTAAAAAGCATGTTGGAGTGCGGGAAATCCCCTCTGGAAAGCGTGACAACAATGCAAAAAAAAAATATTTTCTCTTTTCCTAATAGTAAAATAGTAACTAAGAAATTCTCTTCTAGAAATCACTGCAATAGTGTGAGAAATCTCCCCTAAAAAGTGCGATAGTAGCGTGGGAAATCCCCACCAGAAAGCATGACAACTATACAAAAGATTAGCCCTGTTACTCGCATAAACAGGCTGGAGGACTCCGCCTTTTTTTTCTTAGAGCTTTATTAATCGCAAAAATAGGTCGAGGGCTCCATTATCTTTATTCTTGGAGCCCCGTTGATTACACAAACATGTTGGAGACTTTGCATTCTTACTTCTAGGAGTCTCATTGAACATACAAACAGCCGAGGGACTCCACCTTCTTTCTCTGGAAAGCGCAAAAGCAATGCAAAATGAGATCTCGTTAATTTCCTTCAAGCAGGTCGTGGGACACCTTTTTCTTCTAGAGACCCCATTGATTGCCTACTAGTAGGCTTAGGGGACTCCACATTCTTTCTCCAGAAAAACGCAACAATAATGCAAAAATATATCTCAATGATTGCTTGCAAGCACATCGAGTGACACCTTTTTTCCTTCTTGAGATTTTGTTTTTCACATGCTAGTAGGCCAAAGGAATCCACATTCTTCCTCTAGAAAGCATAATAACAATGCAAAAGGAGATCTTGTTGATCACCTCCTAGTAGACAATGGGACACTTTTTTTTTTCTTCGAGAAAACCACTCATTAAATTTATTTTACTGTTAATACAAAACAAACTAATATTATGATTTAATTCCATAATTTCCAATACCATCATCCTACTAATAGGATTATGATATTATAATAAGTTTTTTTTTTCTTAATGACAAAATCACGAAAGAAGAGAAACAATAGAAGATCATGTAAAATTGCATCACAAATAATGATAATATTGCAATTATACATTAATCCTCTGTATTATTTTTTCTCGCCATGCATCTTATCTTATAGCATTACAGCTCAAAAGCAGAAGCAATAAAGCTATCTGAAAGTCCCGTTCCAGTCTTGAAGGTGAGTTTCTCAGACGTGGGAGTTTCGAGATAGACTTCCACAACAGAGAGCCATAGCAAAAGCTCTTTCGTCTTAACACCAGTCATCTTCTTCAACTTATACTTCTCAACGAAGGCAGTGACCTCCGGCGCATAAGACACGGCTCTCTTGATCTGCTTGAAGACATGATCCTTCTTCTTCTTCTGAATCAGCCATATGAAGCCAGAAGTACGGTTATAGCCGAATTCCTCAATGTCTTCCAAGGGAAACAGACCCTTTGGAAGGCAGAGTTCTTCGAGCAATTCAATGGACTTCCTCCTGCAGATTTCATCTCCCTTGAAGATCTCGGCACCCTCCCTGTGGCTGTCGATTACTTGAGAAGCCATTAGGTTGATTAAAGAGTGTAAAAACTACTTGAGGTTTAAGATAGAACAGATGGGCTTGCTTGCTGTGTGGGAATTCAGAGTGAATGCAAGGGGTATAAATAATGGAAATGGGGAGAGTTAAGAGTTTGACCTTTTAACACGTATGTTGAATTTTCAGGCATTCGATCATGGAAGCGGACGGTTGGGATTGAGGAGGCGACAAGAACGACACAGTCAAGGTTGAGATCGTCAACAATGGCGGGGGGAAAGTCGTTAAATCCTTCAGAAACTTGACTCTGTATTTTCGTTGTAGAATTTATTTTTGTGTAGCATGTTTTTATATTTTTATTACCCGAACAGAAATCGAGAAATATGTTCACATAAAATTGACAATCTTATTCTAAGAATAGGGGCGCAGGATAAGCTAATTTAATAATGGGCTTTTTACATGCATATCACCCAATTCTTATGTATTTACATATGTAACACATACGGTTCAATTTTTTACGTATATACCACCAAAATCTTTCAAATACCATCAAAAGTAATACCTTTTTACCTTTTGAAAAGTGAAATATATCTTTTCATGCATGGTGCATAAGGTGTTATGTTATGTATTACAAATTGAAGTTTGAGTATTAGATATGTAAGAAGGTAGGAATGGACTGGTATGTATATAAATCTTCCATTTAAATATTGGATCTCTGATATTCAGCTAGTGCTTGAAAATACTCAATACTTAATTATCTATTAAAGTTTTTTTTTTTTTTCCGGAATTGAGATTCAAATCAGGCTCTTTGTGATTTTTAGCACATATTAAAATAATTTTGCTCTGATTATATATTTGCATGCAAATTTAGAATAGATAATCATAATAAGAACGAGAAAAATATATTGAATAGACGTTATATATTTACTTTGGTTTTGTAAATGATATAAAGCAATTAGCTTAATTGCAAAAGATAGTGTCTTCTCTTGTTGGTGTGATGTAGATCTTGGCATTGGGTGGG